TGCACGTCGACTGCGACCTCCCAAGCCACGACAGCTAGCCCTCGACGAGGGGACTTCAAATGCGTATTCTGTGACAAGATATTCTCAACACAGGCACGTGCGAATACGTGCATAAGCAGGCATATGGGCGTCGAGCCATTCCCTTGTCAAGGTCAATGTGGGCTCAACGGCTGGTAAGTACCCTCTATTGCGTTGAGAAAAACATTAGTTCTCACCTGACGACACTTGTTAGCACGAAGTCTTATGTATCAAAGGAGAATTTACGACGCCATTGCGCTCCACCAGAGAAGCGAACCGTCGAGTGCCAGTACTGATGAGTCCCACAGCATCATGCCGGTAATGTTCAGTCTAGACCTCTTCCTACAGCGGTCAATCATGTTCAAAACAAAATATCGCAAGGCATAGGAGGATATGCAAGCTTCGAGTGATGACACACTGTACTTAATTTCTATCGATTATTTATATGAACAAAGTAATATAAGCTTGGGATTTATATCGTGGCGTAGAAGCAACGAGAGGACTCTTCACTGTGAAGCAAACCGCTAAACTATCCTTGAGTGACCAGCAGCTGGTCTTGTCCTGGCCTCTGTAAGGCTGCATCCTCGAGACCTTGTGCTAACCATTGAACGTATTTCGCGTTTCAACTCAGCCTTGTCAGAAATAGAGGCAGAGCGTGAGCATAACAAAGTTGGAGAACGGGAGAGAAAAGAAATCGTTGACCTGCGGCTAAATCTCGACTGCACTCCAAAAGGAGATAGGGACGAGTCTATTCTACGAGTGCAAATGCTATCGTGCATCCCTGCAATATACTGTAAGGTCGTGTATCCCCTGAGTGTTGAACGCAATTCGTGTTCAGCCATCACATCCCTCCCCAGCGCCGGAGGCTAAGTGCCTACTAATTAAGGTGCTACATCACCTAACGAGACAAAGATCGTATTCTTTGCCTCTCGACTGGTGATATTGTAGTCGGGTCCAAGATTGATTTGGGTTCCTGAGAGCAGCTTCGCGATAAACGTCTCTCGTCGGTCGGTGACTGGACTTCCACCTTAACATTACTGTTTGTTCTCGCTTGTTTCGAAAAGTTTAAGATAGCTACCTGGTCTAAAGATGAACCAGGATGATCAACGATCGATGCTCTACGCATCAACTAGCTCTCACAACCCCACCACTGCAGCGTGCCCCCTTCGACCTTTGCCAAAACTCGTCGAAGAGTGGCGCTTTGTCTTCCTCATCTCGGGAGTTTTCTGGGGCTGAATAAAGTCATCACAATAGGGTAGCC